CACTGCTCGTGAAGATGCCCGGCTCCCTCCTTGCAGAGTCAGTGCATTCCTGGCGGCCTTTGTCTTCCTCTCCACGAAGACTCGGACGCTTCCCCCAATTGTTATCATGGGGAAACAGAGGGAAAGAAGCAATGTTTTACTCTTGAGTTCCAGACCGATGCAGGGAGGGGACAGTAGTATTAAAAGCCAAAACTTTATTGTCAGGAGCCAGCTTTTTTTTGAGAAGAGAGGCGTGTGAGAATCCAAAGATTTAAAGAAAGCGGCACAGACCCAAATTTTCCATCAAAGCTAGAACGCATGGGGCCAGGCAGGTTGGGGAAAGAGAGTCCGAGGTGAGGGGAGGCAGGGCCAGCCCAGGATACAGTTCAACCTCTGCACAGGGGGCTCCAGACTCTCACACCAGGGTAGGAAACCTCGTCAGGCACCTGCCAGCCTGCTTACAGGAAGCTGCTCCGTTACCTACCACTGACCCGTCTGCCCACCGCCTGGTAGACGTGCCCCACGCCCCACAGCCATCCTGCTCTGAGAGCTTTGTCCAATTACTCTGGCCAACAGCCCTCAATAGCTCAGCACAGTGAGAACACTCCCAGAAGACGCTGGGAACCAGGGAAAAAGTAAGACCCTGAGAACACAGGCATTGCTGGAAGGGAACAGAGTGAGCACAGCGTCCCAACCCGCTGGCCGCCAGCCCTCCCAGCTGGGGCACCATGCTTCCGACCCTCATAGGAGCTGGACGGCCTCCCTCCACCACCACCCCCCCCACCCCCCACTCCCCTAGCACAGGCAGCTTCAATGCTGCTTCTTGAATTCACACTTGTTTAATGAAGCGGTTCTCCAGCAAAGGGTGCTGTCTCCGTCTCCTCGGCAGACCCATGTGATCAGGCCTGTAATTGACATTTTTTCCACATTCAGTATTTGCTTGGATAGTTCCTCGTCAAAGCCGTGAGTTCTCGGTCTGGGAAATTAGTCTGCATTGCAATAGTTCTCACAGGGCAATTGAAGACATAATTGTACATAATCTATTTTGAATCTAGATGCTTAAAAAGAGAATTACAAACATCTGGGGCATCATTTGGCATTCCTGTTTGTACTTTGGGTTGATTTTGCCAGCAATGGGGCCAGGGGAGAAAATGACAATGTTTGAGAGCAGTTTTTCTAGGGTTCAGTTTACACTTGATTATGTTTTCGGCACATTCCCACCAAAACATGCATGCTTTACTTACATTCCGTACTTCAGTTTATTTGTTTCTCTTTCATAGAAATGCCACTTCGATTTGCTATAGCACTTTCTGCAGTGAAGTATAACTTGTGTAAGTGTCCTGGGGCCACCATAACAAAGTGCCCCACAACGGGGGAGCTTCACACAGCAGAGATTTGTCCTCTCTCAGTTCTGGGGCCAGAGTCTGAGATCCAGGTGTGGGCGCTCCTGCAGGGGCTCTGGGGGCTCCTTCCTGCCTCTGCCAGCTTCTGGGAACTCCAGGCGTCCTTTGTCCCCCCCAGGAGGCCTGTGTGCTTTGGAAACCCCTTGGAAGAGCTCGGGGTCACCGAGGCTTCAGGACCCTCGTTATATTCCTTCTAGGACATTAGTGGTGGTCCTAAGGAGTGCTTCGATTGAATGGAGGAGAAAAGAGCCCTGTTTGGCCTGGTGTGACCCTATCACCAGGGGACCCATTCCAGCATCCTACCACCTTCCACTGCCTCCAGGACACGCACGTTTCGTTCTCAAGAAGCGCTGTCTTCAGAAGGGAGAGGGGCTTCATTCAGCCTGGACCTCTCCCTAAACCCCTCCTGGCTGCCAGCGTGGGGAGGAGATGCCCACCTTGGCCCACCACAGGTCAGATGACACCCACCCCGGACCGCCCAGCCATCCCTGCGCTCCTGGTCAGTGGGTCAGC